AGTGACTGGAGTTCAGACGTGTGCTCTTCCGATCTCCTCTAATTATTCTGCATACAAAAATATTAAAGTTGTCGAAAAATCAATATTTTACAAGATATTTAATACTTAATCATACCATATTTTGATATAAAATATGAAATATCTCGTATTATATACTATTAATTTCTAGATAATTGTACCTTACTTTTATGCACAGAAGAATAAAACGAATTGATTGGTGTAAAGAAAACACAGTTGTTTAAAAAAAATGAAATTTTTACTTTTTTTGCAGAGCAACTGTGTTTTCTTTACACCAATCGATTCGTCTTATTATTCTGTGCATAAAAGTATAAGGTACAATTATCGAGAAATTAACAGTTTACGTTTAATACTTTTGCAAAATAATTAGAGGAATCATGTTATGTAGAAAAATCATATATTCCATTTGGAAAAACAAAGTTGATCTTGAAATATCCGAAATGCCTTCACCTGCAGGATAAAAATTATTATCGCCATATGATAGCCTCCTTCGTATCATGCTAGAGTAACATTTTGATAACAAAAAATGTTTCTCTAGACCTTATAAATTCCAATTCAATATTTTAGGTGCTAATAATTACTGAAACATCCTATATAGTAGAATTAGAAATATCTTGTGCAGCTGTAATTGTAAAGATGGACATCAGTAATAGCCGTAATAGGGATATTTGTAAGTTTCAAAGAATTTGCTATAAGTTTTCTTAATAAAAAAACATGGTTTTCACATTGTGAAATAATTAATAATAATAAAGCTTAAAAGTTAAAAAATGAAAATTAATTATCACTAGTTAATTTAAATAATTTTAAAACAAAATATGTTATTTGAAATATGAATCTCATTTCATGAGTGCTTTGTGAATAAAACAAGATACAAAGTGAAAAAGAACGAAGTAATTCGATAAGAATGAAATGTTTACTTGAAATCAATTTAGAAAAAATAATTAAGGGATTAAATGTAGTAGCTTAAATATAATATTTTAAATCTTTTATCAATTTTATAGGTACATATATATAGTATATATATATATATATATATATATGTAAAATATTATATGTATATATAATATAGAACTGATAAAAGATTTAAAATATTACATTTAAATTATTATATTTGATCCCTTATTAATTGTTTTTTTCTGAATTTTCTAAATTGATTTCAAAATTCTATATATACACATATATATGTATATACATATAAATCAACTCATATTTATATAAAGCATTTCATAATTTTTCATCAAATATGTCGCTATTACTAATCTCCATTTTATCAGCTGCGCTATATTAATATAAATTACACTTAATAATGTTCTTATATGTTTACCGTCGTACAATCATCTTGGGTGTCTGCTGAAATGTACTTTCGATATTACTATATTCTACTACGTCGAAGAAAAATTCTTTATAAAGTATACTTACACAAATTCTCGTTACATGAGAGAAGCTCAATTTTTTTCAAAGCTTAGATCAAATTATATTTATACAATAAAAAATTACCTTGTTTGACACGTATGTTCACTATTGAAAATTCAACTTTATGAAAAACTGATGTAACATCAGTTATTTCACAGAGCCAGCACGAGTTGTTATATTTTTTACAAAATTATTTTTATGAATAAAAAAAACTCGTTATGGTTCTTCAATCAATAGAAGTAACTATTGATGGACCTGAATTTGCCTTGCATTATATGGTATACCAAGAAGAGCCTCACTTGATATCTTAATTAACAAAAGATCTAAAAAGTGAAAGAAAAACGTCATGTCCTGCCAATAAAGGATAAGGAAAGCATTTTATCTTACTTGTCGAGATTTGTAAGTAAAGCGGAAGGAATATTGTTTTGAAGTGTTTTTAAAGATCTCCCATGTCCGTACATTGTAAAGAGTAAATAATGTATTCTAAATGTAATGTGTATAATCAATATTTTCTTGTAATGTAATTCTTGAATCCAATCATAATTTCTTTCAAAATAAAGAATAACTTATTTACATCAGAAATCCAATGTATTTTATCTAAAGCTGCGAATTGATTTATCGTATATACATATTGTATATATACAGAGTGTCCCATTTTAATGTCCCACCCCAAATAACTTTTTTATTTTTGATCTTAGAAAAAAATGTTTCAGACAAAAGTTGTTTGGCTTTGAAGGGGACATAAGGTGATGTCATTAGTGTAACCGTGAATAGTTGCTCGAAGGTCATATGAAGGTTACCTTCAATTTCTTAAATAGAACCCCCTACTTTTTATTGCATATTCGTGTAGATCATCTCGAAAACTTTCCAAAACATAGATAAAATGTTTTTTGGTTAAGTAAATCTCGAGTTATAAAGCTTGAAAGTTACAGTACCACCGA